TTCCTAAAGTATGCTTTGTCAGATATGAGAATAGTTATTCCTGCTTGTTCTTAGATTTAATTTTCATGAAGTATTTTCCCCATCCTTTTACTTTCAGTTTGTGGGTGTCTCCCTTACTATGTGTTGAAACACTGTTGAGGCTTGAGTTGGGCTAGATCATGTTTGGAGTGATATTTTCTGTGATTTGCCTGAGTTGTGGGTATTGCTTGGCAGCAGGATCTCTCACTCTGTGAAAATGTCCCAATCACTTTCCAGCCCCTCTTAGAGGAAGGAGGAAACCAGCAATAGCACTAATGATAGCAACAGATGTACAGCCTTAAGATAAATGTCCAGAGTCTACTTTGACATCTATAACACTAATTTCTATCTCTATAGGAATGATGGGGTCAGCATTTAAAATCAACATGAAGAATAAACAACCATAAACTAGATCATTTATTAAGCAGCAGGTGTTTGCAACATTAATAATCACAACAAAAAATGGGGGTAGAAATTACATAAATTATTTAAGAGTTATATAATGATCATTTCTTAAATGAAGAGAAAATAGGGTAGGAAGCAAGAGAAAGCTTGAAATATTTAAAAAGTGAATGTAGGAGGGTTAGGAGATAGGTAACAGATGATGGCTACAAAGAAGCAGGGGAAAAAATGTAACAAAAAATAATAACCTAATGAAAGGAGGGAACAAGAAAATCTGTGTTTTAGTGGGGAGATTAAAGCAGGGCATCAGGAAGAATAAAACCTAATAATACAGAGACACATATAAGGTCTCCCAATTTTGCTTGTGACGATGCTGTATTTATGTTTCCTGTGCTGGTGACCCTGGTTCTCACCCAGCTATCTGCCCAGGGGCAGAGGAATGTTGGTTGCTTTTCACTCATCTACTTTCTCTACCAACTCTGGGTCCATTCATATTAGCCTCCTGCTCTATTCCACAGGTTTCCCCCAAGGCAAATTTTTTAATGGTGGTTTCCTCTCTTTTTCCTGCCCTTGTCTCTTCCCTCAGCTGCCACTTCTGCCACCACCACCAGTTAAGCAGGCATGTATCTAATGTGTTACTTCTTATATTATGCTTAAAGTTTGACTTTCTGTGTCTCTATGGTTTCTTTTACCGTACAGTATTAAATTTCATTGAGTTCCTTTATTTACCTAACCAAGAAGAAACCTTCCTGCTTTTGAAGTCTGGAGCTAAGAAACTGCTGTGAAGTGTTCCTCTAATCTTCAATGTCAAGATGTCTTTTCAGTATACCAACTTCATTTCCCATAGATATATACCTAATAGTGGGATGATACAGTAGTTGTATTATCTAAAGCATTTTGAGAAGCTTGCATATTATTTTCCATAATAGGTATTCTACTTTGCATTCCCACCAATAGTGTACAAGGGCTCCTTTTTCTCCATACCCTTGCAGGAACTTGTTATCTTTAGTCTTTTTGGTAAGAGACATTATATAATGATGTAAAGTGATATCTCCTTATGATTTTCATTTGCACTTCCCTGAAAATTAGTGATGTTGACCAGTTTTTCATATACTCATTGACCAGTTATATCTTTTTTTGAGCAATGTCTATGTTGTTCTATTGCCAATTTTTAATTGGATTATTTATTTATTTTTCTATTAGATTTTGGAGCCCCTTATATATTATGAATGTTAACCCTTTGTCAACAGCATAGCTTGAATATATTTTCTCTCATACTATAGGTTGTTTCCTCATTCTGTTTCTTTTGATATGCATAAGCCTTTATATTTTGTAATTTCATTTGTATACTTTGGATTTGCAAAAAATAAGTATTAATAGCTTTATATAAATGTTCCTTTTATGTTTTCTATAAATTGTGATATGTACTAAATATATAATTGTTTAATGTATATTATATATATATATATCTAATTTATCGAATTTATCCAAATTACACATAATTGTCTTTATCTTTGTAATAATCTTTAAATACTCATTTTCTGATAATTTTATCTAGCCCAACAAAATAAGATAACATCTTATATAAACAAAAATCGAATTATATTTATCCAAATAGATAAAAACTTTTTAGAGTATTCTACTTGCTGTAGGGATATAGAACATTAATAAAAATCTATTGAAGTTAGTTGCTTAAAGAGTATCTATAATTAAAGAGGCAGGTTTAATTCTGTCCATCTCCAATATATGAAAAGTACTGTAAGTGTTAATTAATAACCTATCTAATGTCTAACTAAGGCAGCAGCATCCCTTCAGTAATTTCCCAGATGCTCAAAGATGGATTAAGAGAGAGTGTTTCATAACACTTTTGACAACAATTTCTTTATACTTCCTGTCACGTGGAATGTAATAGTGGTAGTTAAAATCAACAATTCTGAAAACCTGGCAGAAAATTTTATTACTCTAAAATTCCAATGGGCATCTATTTCACTTTATACAGATAGTGAATTTAAGATTAAAATTTTATTTCATATAATTCAAATATATGAAATAACTATATCAACTCGATTAGATGCACTTAAACCAAGTTTTAAGATAAAATATTTACTAATTAATTAAAATAGCTATATAATTAAATGGACAATTCTGAAATTAGTACCAGGTATAGACTACTTATAAAATGGTATCATAAATTTATAATCAAAATAAACAAAATAAAATATGAAAACATGCATATAAATATCAAATTACAAATAGATTTTCTAAATGCTGGTCTAGTTTGTATCAGTAGGATTTTTATTATTTGCTCTAATGACTTTGTCTATGTAAATTTTTAGTTACTTGCTGCTGAGAATTTGGATGAATATGGCACACAAATACATCTTGAAGATTATTTTTTAGCAAAAATGTGATCTCTGAATTAAATAAATAGGGTTATTTGGAATAAAATGCAAAGAATGTATATTTTATCAGATGATAATGTATTTGGATCCACTGAGGTGGTCAGAAAAGATTCTCTTTTACTTAGTACCATTTTCATTTTTAAAATTTAAAACCTCCTTTATTCCATCCCTCTTTTCCCCTTTCTCCTGGCAGTCAAGTCTGTTTTGTTGTCTCAGGATTATCTTCATAGGTTAACTCCACTATAGTTGCATGTGGTTGTTTTATGTTGACTTCCCTTCAACTGATGCATTAACATAAAATTATTGTGCAAATATATTCAAAGCAAGAGTTCAATAATATATTTTTACTATTATGCAAAGCAGAATAAGCCAATTCCCCAAAACCAAAGTTCAAATTTCCTCTCTAATATGTAGATGCTAACACACAATAAGGGAATAAGGGGAGAGTAGAACTTCGGTAGATTAGAAAAAAGGGAATGAAAGGAAGGGGGAGATAGGAAAGACAGTAGAATAAATCTTACTTAACTTTCCTTATATAAATAAATAGCCAATATGGAAAGCAGTATAGAGATTCCTTGGAAATCTGGGAATGGAACCACCATTTGACCCAGCTATCCCTCTCAAGACTATACCCAAAGGACTTAAAAACAGTATACTACAAGGACACAGCCACATCAATGTTTATAGCAATACAGATCACAATAGCTAAACTGTGGAGCCACCTAGATGCCCTTCAGTGGATGAATGGATAAAAAAAGATGTAGCATATATACACAATGGAATTTTACTCAGTCTTAAAAGAATAAAATCAAGGCATTTGCAGGTAAATGGATGGCATTAGAGAAGCTAATACTAAGTGAAGTTAGCCAATCCCACAAAACAAATGTTGAATGTTTTCTCTGATATAAGGAGGTTGATTCATAGTAAGGCAGGGAGGGGAAGCATGGGAGGAATAGAGAAACTCTAGATAGGGCAGAGGGGTAGGAGGGAAATGGAGGGCGCAGGGGTGGTGGAATGTGATGGACATCATTATCCAATGTACAGGTATGAAGACACAATTGGTGTGAATAATACTATGTATATAACCAGAGGTATGAAAAATTGTGCTGTATGTGTGTAATAAGAATTGTAATACATTCCACTGTCATTTTTTAAAGTCAGTATAAATAAATAAATAAATACAACATAGTGTATCTCTACAGTGAATCATGTACAACCACAATGCTAGGAGTCTAATTAGAATAAGATGTATTCCGTGTTTGTATAAATGTGTCAAAATATACTGTCAGGTATAACTGAAAAGAATAGATAAATAATAAATAGTTAAGGTTATAATAAAATAATATTAAAAATAAATAGTAAATAAATAAATGGATGAATAACAAGTGATAGTAAGAAAAAACTAACTTGTACTGAAAATCTAAATAAACTCAAATGATGAAACAAAAAGTGAGTTTAGTAATAAAACCAGTACATACCAAAAAAAAAAAAACACTGTAAGATTGCCAGTCCAGCCTATAAAGGATGAATAACATGTACTAGTGGATAATAAGGCAATACTTTGAATTGCTGAGTGTACCCCCGATTGACTGCAAATTAACATTTGAGAATCTGAATTTGCAATATCATTGAATGATTAGAGCACTTTAGGATGAAATGGGACTAACATAGGAGTATAAGATGAAATGTTTTCCATAATAATATCAAGTACTGACTCTAAGTGGGTTGTATCTCAGGTGGTTTCTTAGTCTAGCAGGGATAGAGACTCTCAGTGATGACTTCACAGTAGAACCATCTGGAGAAATTTTCAAATGTGTTATCGAGATCCCTCTCAGAATTCCATGGGGCAATTCACTCAGTTCCATGAGTGAATTTCAGGCACATAATTTATAGCATCTATTGGCTTTTGCGATTCTCTAAATATATTAGATAAATTAGTTTGTTAAACATAGATAAAACCTATTAAGATATTTTAAGCATAGGTAAGTAATTAGAAATTGACACTTTTCACTAAAGACAGAATTTGTAGTATGTCTAAAGTGTAAGTTCAGGAGAAACATAGATGCCTTAAGTATAATAGTTAGCATGTACCAAGAATGTCCTTATACCATGAGAAACATAGGTATTAAGTACATATGAAACTAAATACACAGAAAACATGTTCACACACTAGTCATATCCATTATGTTCCATGTGTATTTTGCCCTAAAAATTTGAATGAAATCCATGACAGTCTGTCAGGCTAATTGTCAAACTACAGCTTTGGATAGGTATAATTGTTTTTATGTCTGTTCAGAAGTGCAAGACAAAGACCCCTTTAGTCTGTGAATCACATTCCTCCAAACTTGATACAGGTCCTTACATCCACATCCTCAGCAAAGAAATCTTCTGTGTCGGAGAGAGAAAAATGACAAAAGAACATTATGTTAATTTTAGTTAATGAATGCTTCCTGCTTGTATGCAGTCTTGTCTGTTAACCCATGCATCTGTTTCCTCATTTTTTCTCACTGTATGTCCTAAATTTGATTTGATAACTATGACATTCAAGTATTTTTAGATGGTCTGTGATGTTTCCATCCTGTAACCTCTTAAACTTTTGCTCAGTTGCATGCTTGGAAAATGCCATTGTAAAACATAATTTCCTGTATGACATAGTCAGTATTTTTTAAAACATTCCCCAAATAGTTGAGAACCACCTAGAATAGTGAAAAGTAAAGGAAAATAACAGATGATAGAAGACTTTAGAAAAGAGGTTAAAGATTTATATTTTGCTCTTTAGAAAATCTGGAGTCTTTGAATTATAAAAGTATATCATAAAAATTGTACAACTTAAAGATTGATTTGATGATGGTATGGATGCAAGCGAGACTAGTTGTAAGAATATCAGCAGTCCAGTAATAAATTAGAATTGTCAAAATGATCATCCTGGTGAAATGAACCTGAAAGAGGATGGCAGTATCCAAATGAAAAGGAGAGGACTGATGGATCTTGAAATCCATTCACTACTCAATCGATACTGTGAAGGTAGTATTAAACAGATAGATATAAAATAGACAAAAACATTACAAGAAAATAAAACTACAAATCAATATTCCTGTCTAACATAAATTCAAAGAAGCTTTAACAAAATTTGTAACAAAATATTAGCAGATAAAATCAGACAATACCATATTTAAGACTATACAAAGTACAAAAGCAGTTTATGCCAAAAAATGCAAGATGATTTAATTTTAAAGATTTTCTCAATACTCCACTCTATTATCAGTTTTCAACAGTCCCTGACTATTCTAGTTGTCTTGGGATTATTCCAGTCTTAACAGTCTTACTTTTTAAAACCCTTTCGCAGGAGATGTAAAGTCTTTTTTTTTTTTTCAATCATAGGGCAAAAAATTGGGGGAAATGTATAGAACTGCAGTCTCCAAGATTGAGGCTGAAAGTAAACACATTTCTTTTGTGTGTGTGTGTCAAATGGATATTAGTTAATTCACCTTCTGTTGTTGTGTTCTGTCGTTGTATTCTATCTCACCCTTTCTAATTATGTTGGCAAATCCAATTTGCTATTCATAATAGTAAATCATTCATTATTGCATCACACAAACTGATGTGATTCAAGTATGTAATTTAATAATATGAGTGTTAGCAGTTAATCTTTGACTTTGCCCAGGGACTAACTGTTGTTATTCTTATCACGATAGTGCTACCTTAGCTCAGAAAACATGGTTATAATGTTAAAAACTAAGATATCAAAAGTCCAAATCCAGAATGAGCCAGGTATCACTGAAAGGGGGTCAGTCCATCACTGCGTTATTTGAATAGAAGGAAACATATAACTGGCATAGGGTGGCAAATAACAGAGCTTACTATACAACATGCAAAAGCAATTTGGGACTTGGACATAGTGGAGAAGGGAATGTGAAAGCTGCTTAAAAATTCAGTCTTACAATTCCAGTTAGAGGTAGGCAAATACTTCTGAATCAGATGAAAAAAGTGACCAGTGAATTTGTTTGGACATACCACACAAAAATCATACTGGTCCTTAGAATGATTTAAGAAATTCAATAAAAATACATTTCCTTATTCAGAAATTGAAATTAAAATGTCCTGTGAAAGTACAAAAGAAAAAATTTTCAAAACAGTTATCTTCTGTCAAATGTTAACAATAATAATGCTTTACAGAGAACACTGAGTGGTTCACTGACAACAACAAAAATGTCCCTGTGAAACTGATTTACAATAATGGAGTTTCAAATCATCTTATTGATTTCTATGAATATTTAAGTAAAATACAAGAAACACAACTAAAGATTATTGATATTTGGTACAAATACAAAATAGGTTTTCCTTTTCCATCTGCATATTTTGCAGACAGTACAAAATGTACATTTTTGCTAAGTTAATTCAGTCCATAAATTTCTTACCAAGGAAATGAAAAGAGATCTTTAAACTAAATGTTCTGCATAACTTAGATACAGTACTCCTATAAAGGTGATATGATTTCTGTGATATTGAGGTTTTTATTAAATATTTTAGTTTAGTTTCCTCAAAATGTTTAGAATCATTTAATGAGATTTTTTTAAAAATTTACTGATATGGAAGAATATAGACTTCTGAGACTGAGTTACAAAATGGGAATTATTGTTGCCTGCCTAAGAAAATATTAAAATATTGTTCTGGCATAAAATAAAATTTTTTAAGTGTTGAACTAGAATAATGCCTTTTAACTAATAAATGTAGTAAAAATGAGAATAAAGAAAACAAAAAATTGTTATGTTTTTTCCAGAACTGATAATCATTAAAGAAGCCACATGTTGCAAAGCTAAGGATGAACTGAACATACTTGTGCTGTTTATTTATAGTATGCAATAAAAACAAAGAAAAAAAGACAGATTTTTTGTAAATAAGACTGTTTCAGAATTCAAAAGAATGCCACCAGATAACAGCAGTGAAATTGAGCATAACTTAAACACTTCCTTACTAAAACTGACTCTTAAAATTTAACTTTCATATTTTCAAATTACTTGTGTGTTTTGAAACCATTTGTCTTCAGGAGAAAAAAAAACAAGCCTTAAATTATAGTGACATCCAATTTATTTCAGAGTACTTTTAAAATGCTGGATATTTTAAACATGGGCAGTTATGGAATGAACTTATAGATCAAAAGAACCATTGACAAACAGAACAGCTGGTCTACAACACCACCAAAGTGGGTGCTAATTTTTGGAGAGCTGTAAAGTAATTCATGTACATCTGAAAACTTGAAATTACTAGTAAGTAAAATCATAAGCATCTAAGACTCAGATGTTTTTCTTGCTGTCATCACAGTGGGCTTATCCCAGAAAGTAGTGCCACTGGATAAAAGCAGCTCTGCAAGTCAGCATAACATTTATGATCGACTATATTTAATCTCATCACACTATATGAAAGAAAAGGAAGACTTTTTTAAAGACTACAGTTAGTTCAAAGAAGAATTATAGAAAAAAGAAAGAAAAGAGGAAAATTACACTAATGTACTATTAGAAAAAAGAAACGTGTCTTTGCTGTTTCTTTAAATACATTTAATAGTCATTTAATTGATATAGTCCTTTAAAAATTCTTATATTCATGTATTTTTTTACTTTATTAAAGTGAAGAAAGATCATCTTAGATATGTTTCTGCAAAATGACTATTATAAAATAATATAGCTTACACAATTTGAATATTAAATAACTTAAAAACAGAATAAATTGGTACAGCAGAGAACAAAAGCATTATAAAATGGTTACATTTTTCTCACCTATTTACTTGTTGGATAAGTCTTATTAGTTATTAATTGCTACTGTTAAGTAGTCTTATCCTTGTTTTGATTAATACTAGTTATATAACAAAAATAAAAAGTACACAGCAACGTTCAATTTTTCATAAATACTTGTTGATTTTTTCATGTTAAGATATAATATTATTTACTATATATAATATGTTCTTTTACTGTTTTACTGACCTAGGTGTGTTCCAGGTTGGGTCTTTAAAAATCTGGTTATTCTATACCTGTGGAATGAAGGAAGTCTCTCCCTGGTCTTGCCCCTCTCCCAGCAGTAGGCTTCTGCTGCTTGTTGCTAGGTTACTGGTTGCTAGGCTCTTCTCTTTGGTCCAGACCCAATCTCAGTCTTATTTTTCTTAATATTTCTACCACTCCTTTCTGTGGTCTCTGGTGTGTGGTTCATCTTAAGTAGAAAAGAGTTTTGCTATTTCTCACTTAGTGATAGAGATCACTGTTTGGTATTAGGATAGGGTCTTAGATATACTTAGGCACATTATTAACTTGGTTTTGAGATTCTTTGAAGAAAGAATCATATAGTGTTTTCATTATTTCATATAGTGTTTCTTTATTGATGTGCTTGTCATTTAATCTCTCAACAATGCTGAATTACTAATTATTTTCTTTGCTCTTATTTAGTCATTAGAAGAAACTGTGTTTTCTATTTAATTTTTCTAAATCCTTTCTAGGATTTGTGTCTTTTCCTCAAGCAAATCAATTGTTTGAACATTTTTATGTCCAGTGACTATCTTTTCCTCTACACTAATTAGCTACAATCTCTACTATCTTTTTCTTCTTAGGATATTTTCTTAACATTTTATTTGCTGTCAGTAAACATCCTAAACAGAAAATTATCTATTGATTACTCATTTCTTCAGTGACATATCTCACTAAAGGGTTGAAAAAGATGCTTCTTTTTGATTAATTTTTTACTTGCAATGACATATTCCATGATTTATCACTTGAACTGAGATGTCTAAGCTCAATACTAGACTTTGTATTATTAAACTGAAAAACAAATAATTTAATGGTTCCTACTCATTCTTTGAAACAAATTATTTTATTTCAACCAGTATACTAATGAAGCTTAAAAAATATGCAAATATGAAAAGCTAAAATAATAGATGTGCAATCCTTTGGAAAGTAGAAAAATTTAATAGTTTTTTTTGGATATAAGATATTAGAATCAATGTTCCAAAACACAAAGACATTATTTAGATTTATTTTTTATTTTTAAAACTAAAATTCTCATAAGATTTTAGATAGATTTAATATTATTATGAAAAGCAAGAAGAAATTATTGAAGAAAAGTAAATGTTCCACATAGAACTACTACATAAATATTTTCAAAATAATTAACTGGTCAGTTCTGTGTGTCCTTAAATCAATCAAGTTTCAACAAAAAAATTTAACTTGTTTTTGGTTATCTTAGTTAAATCGATTATGTTATTTTGAGAGTGTGATCATATGTAATCATAGCCTAAGCAATGATTGTGTGTGTGTGTGTGTATGTGTATGTGTATGTGAAATTGTAAAAAGGTTCTTTAATGACAAGAACGAATACTAGTATGGTACAGTTTTTATCTAGAAATTACTTGCCATGCAATAATTTTATATTAATAGATAAAATGGTATGGTTAGATTTGGTATCCAACTTTTCAAAAATAAAAATGAATGATAAACTTGAGGGTTACCTAAACTTATGTATGAATTTCAAATTTGGGGATTATACTTCAAAAACAGTTCTGTTATATTTTATTCTATTCACTCCTGGTTTTTCATTGATCTTTTAAAAATAAGACATAATTTGAGATTCTGGCGAGGTTAAGCATGGCAAAATTGTAAGATTAGTTAATAACAGATGTTATGTGCTAATTTTCTTGGCACATAGTATAAACTTTATTATTGAATACCCTAACAAATACATATGTATTTACCCTGCTCAACTCAAATATATTCCAAATTATCCTTAATATTTAGTATCTGTTTATCAAACCTGATGAAATTTTCCATGCCTGAAATCACTGAAGATTGAAAACAGCCTATCATTGATTCTTTGGCTCACATGTATGGATACCAGCCACATGCCATAACTCTTTCAAGACACCCTCTTTCACTCAGTTGTCAGCTCACACCATTCTTAGAAAATTTGACTTGGGAAAAGGAATCATGCAAACCTTGTACATAGGTTAGGGGAGCTATTTAGACAGGCAGTTCATCACGGGTGGACTCCAGGTGGACATTTCTTCATTGGCTCAATGGATTCCTGAGTGTGAGTGAGGTGCAATTTCAGATGGATCAAAGTGGAACTTGTTAATGCAAACAGCCTAGATTAGGGTCTCAAACTTTCTTTAGTGTAATCCCATTTATATTTATCTAATATATTGCAGTATGTGGAGCAACAAAAGATGACCACTTCTATTGAAAGAAAGCAGAATGCTTATTATACAAATAGCACTGTTGGCTGAATACTTCTGAGAAGTGGTATTTAGTCATCATTCTGTGATGCTGTGGGAGGTGGCAGAACCATTAGGGAGAAGAGCCCATTTGAAGGAGGATAGGTCATTGGGGGTGTTCCCTTGAAGGAGATGTTGGAACCATGACCCCTTTCTCTTTGCTTCCCAGTCACTATGAGGTGAGCAGCATTCTTCTCCACCAGCTCCCACCACAGGCCAGTGCTGCTCATTGCAGACCTTGAGGCAACTGAGCCTAGTGACCATGGACTGAAACTTCTGCAACCATGAGAGAAAATATACCTTTCCTTCTTCTATATTGTTTATCTCAGTTATTTTCTCAGTGATGGAATGCCAACTAACAAAGCAATCTAGAAAATCTGCTGCTCTGATTCTTATATTCCAGATTTAGTATTTTAAAAATTAACTCCTAGAATGAAAGATGATTCCCATAAACATCTCCAACTGATAAAAGTTAGTCTGCTTGAAAGAATATCCATAAATTATACCTTTTAATGAATAGTTCTGTGAAAATTCTTATTTAGATCAGAATCCTAGTTGGAGATTTACACAGAAAGAAAGATGTACACACTTTTTTGTTGCATAGTTTACCACATATTTCACCCAAATTCTAATCTTGATTTTTACTTTTAGTATTATAATGGCATAAGTGATCCTGTAGCTTTTTAACATTAATGCAGGCATATGGAGCCAGGTTTATAATCAAATCTTAACAGTTCTGAGATTTGGGACTGAGATCCAATTCCTTTATCTGAAAAGAAGAATTAAAGTATTTAAGTGTGATGGTTATCATAGACCCCCAAAAGAAAATATGTATGTATTTTCTGCTACATAATAAGCACTCGATAAATGGTATTATTACTATCCCTATGGTTGCTATTACCACGATAACTTTCAGGATTAGACATTCCTGTTCGAACATTAATTGATACCTATCTTCATCACCAGCCCTTAGAGATGATTTCTGTCAGCACAAACTATTTAGCCAAATCAATATTAACAAAATTGCCAAAAGTGTATCTAATCTACATTGTATCTCAAATAGTCAATGAGACCATTGTCAGGTTATTGCCCCTTACATAAATGACATTACTTCTGAATCAAGATTTTGATTTTCAACTCTAAATCTTTTCACCAGATTATACCAGATTTTCTCCACTTCTTTGCTCTCAGATGCTCCTGAACAATGTTCTCACACACCTCTTTCAGGCCATCAGGGACAGAACCCATACAGGGATAAGGTCCCCAGAGAACCAGTGCCACCTCTGATAAAGGCATAATTGTGTCTAAGGGTTTCACTACATGTGGCTGAGGAGAAGACAGTATCTTATGAGAAAACTGAAATTCAATGCTAGGTGGACTCTCTCATAAAGTTCACAGCTGAAAAGAAGTAGGTAATGAGAGAGAATTCAAGTGACAAGAATCTAGGCCTAATATCAGAGAAAGCCAGAGATGAGACCTAAAGAAATTCACTGACATAATCAGCTCTCGTTGCTTTTACTTTCAACTTGGAATTTTTCTTTAGTTACCTGCCCTAGAAAATTCAAGATTTTCTCCTTCTCCACCACCTCTGTGAATCTTTCCAAGCCATTGGTCAAAATGAATTTTTCCTATGGTTAATATTCTCATTTTTAATTTCATAACTTTTATATTTGCCTCAATATTTATTTATCAAGGAATTGTTAGTTTATTATTTCTATTATCCCATGAATGCTTATGAGTATGGTATGATAGCAGAATGCTTACTATACAAATAGCACTGTTGTTACCAGTCCTCATGAAGGAAGAAACCAAATAACATACACAAGTACATACACAAATTAAAAAAAAAAAAAATCAGTCTCCCATGGAGTGAGGTAACAAAACAATTTTGATAGTATTAATTTTAATCAGGGATTTTGAAAACACTACACTAAGGATTTGATTTTGTACCTTAATAAAGAGACAGACCCAGTGAAGAAAAGAGCTGGGTGTGGTGGTGCACACCTGTAATCCTAGCAGCTCAAGAGGCTGAGTCAAAAGGATCACAAGTTCAAAGTCGGCCTCAGCAATGGTGAGGTGCTTAGCTATTCAGTGAGACCCTGTCTCTAAATAAAATACAAAATAGGACTGGAGATGTGGCTCAGTGGTTAAGTTCTCCTGAGTTCAATCCCCAGTGCCCCCCAGCAAAAAAAAATATTTCTGAGAGCATTGAATGTAACATATAACAGGAAGAAAAAAATCAGGATACATGAAGCATAATGCACATAGAAAAGATTACTACAAAATCAGATGAAGGAGAAGAACAGTGGTCAGATAAAGTCATTTATTATAAAGAATAGTAAGATTAAAAATTTGTTTTAAAATGTGATGTAAATGACTAGTGGATATATAGAGAGTTGTATAATTGATTCATATGGGGTGGGAGACTTCGGAATGCAATGCAAGAATGAAACTGCTGAGGACAGTTTAAGATTATTACAATAGTCAACTGTTACAATGTTACCTAGGCTTGGGGGAGACTCCTGGAACTAATGGATTCCTAGGACTTACTGTTAGAGCAGTGAGTAACAAGGGAGACTCAAGCCTAGACCTGGGCAGTGACTTGAACAACTAAGTGGATACTTTCAGTTTGTTTCTATTGAATTATAATAAAGCAATTGATCAAATGAATTAAAATAATTAACATGGTTCATTACTAGCTTTTTTTACAGCATGTTTATAATAGTGGCCTCTAAATTTATTTTAGTCCTTGAAAGAATTAATATAATATGTAATAAGACTGTAAACAGGTTGAATATGCATATGGAGAAAAGCACATTGCT